CTAGGCTTTTATTATTCAAGTATTTACCAAGCAGAACACACATATACAAAGGCTGAATAGTTAGGTTAAGAATAGAATGGAGAAAAGCAAATGATCAAAGATCGTTTTAAAAAAAGGTCACAATCTTACTGGAGAAATACAATATAACAGTATCAGGGATAGCATAATATTCATGATTGTTAAATGGTGTTTTAAAGAGATCCACTGAGAGAATACTCATGGCTTAGCCTTGAAAGTCAGCAAGAATGCATAAAAGGGGCTGGAGAAATGACTCAGCAGTTAGAACTGAGTTCAGTTTCTAGCAACCACATGGTAGGAAGCTCATGGCCTTCTGCCACTCCAGTCCCAGGGATCTGTTATGATGCCCTGTCTAGACTTGTTGATTCCACCAGCCTAGCTCCAGGTTCAAGAGACCCTGTCTCAAAGAAAATAGTGGAGACCAACAGATATAGCACGACACTTGGCATCCTTCTCTGACCTGCACAGGCTCACCTGTACCTGAACATATACACACCATCGTACATAAACACATGACAAAACCCCACATAGTGTGGAACACAATTATTCTAAAGAACCCAAGCGTCAGTCTGAAGATGTAAGAAGGTACAACTGTCCTGAGAGGCGGGACAAGATACTACAGACTCCTCTGTGTAAACAAACCAAAAATAAACATGATGGCAGTGGGTTCTGCTAGCTGCCTGTAATTCTAGCACTTGGCAGGTATGAGCAGGAGGATCAGGTATTCAGGACCAACTTCAGCTACATGAGACTATTTCTAAAAAAAAAAAAAAAAAAAAACAAACAAAAAACAAAACATACACAAAAGAATAAAAATAAAAATGACTGCATTTAAGAATTTACTTTTGTTCACAACAAAAGAAAAACATCTAATTAAAACTTCCTCTTTGAGCCGGGATCTCTGTGAGTTCGAGACCAGCCTGGTCTACAAGAGCTAGTTCCAGGACAGGCTCCAAAACCACAGAGAAACCCTGTCTCGAAAAACCCAAAAAANAGAGAAACTCTGTCTCAAAAAAAAAATAAAAAAATCTTAGTAACATTCTGTAATTAAGCATCTGATTTGCTTTTTTTGTGCATATGTATGTTTAAAACTTCCTCTTTGAGCCGGGATCTCTGTGAGTTCGAGACCAGCCTGGTCTACAAGAGCTAGTTCCAGGACAGGCCCCAAAACCACAGAGAAACCCTGTCTCGAAAAACCCAAAAAAAAAAAAAAAAAAAAAACCTTCCTCTTTGATTTCTGCTGAGGAAGAAAAAATACTAAAGATTCCTTACATTTTGCAAGTGTAACATGAATAAGTATGACTACACTTAGGAAATCTACTTTCTCAGATTTATTTACTTTATGTGTATGTTCTGCTCACATCTATGACTGCATATCATATGCATCCTGGAACTAGAATTATGAACACTTGTGAACCACCACCTGGGGTACTGGGAACTGAACCTGGGTCTTCTGCAAGAACAAGTGCTCTTAACCACTGACCTATCACTCCAGCCCCAGGAATTTACTTTCATTCAGAGCAAAAGATGCAATCAGGAAGTTATAACCTACATCTTGAATACTAACACTTAGGAGGCAGAGGCAATCAGATCTCGATGAGTTCCAGGCCAGCCTGGTCTACATAGTAAGCTCCAGGACAGCCAAGGCTACCTAGAAAGACCCTGTCTCAAAAAGCAAACATTAATTAATTAATTAAAATAGATATTACAGTGAAGATATACAGTACTTATCCCTATCTCAAAAACAGAGCAACCCATGAACATTTAATTCCAAAAATAACATTTCAAAGCTAAAAGGGAAGTTTTAGTGCACATGGGACATTTAGCTCCAGATCCTGCAGTCATCTCACTAGACAAACTGGTTTTCTTCTACACAATCCCAACTTCCTTAATATCCCTGAACTAACTGTTCCTGGAAGCTTAAACACTCCCTTGGCAAACAGAAGATCTACTGAGTATCTGAGCCAGCAGTCTGACAAAACTCGGCCGTGTTTTCAGTAAACAGCTAACAAGCACACAAGAGTAAAACCAGTGATACTTCTGACTCAGAACAGGTTTAAAAATGATGCAAGCAATCAACCAACAAAATTAAATATAATACAGCTGTAATGTAATTAAATATATACATAATTTTCATAGATAAACACACATATATATACATTCTGTATAGCATTATAGTCAACATATGAATTCAATAGATTATACATTCAGTATGTAATATATAATACAAATACGTAATATAAGCTACAAATAATCGTGTATTTATACATAACATAGTAAACTGAAAAACAAAATAAAACGAAATTTTATACAAGTATTCTGAATGTCATTTATATTATGAATTCAGTTATACTAAATGTTTGTATCTAAACAGTGTCAAGCTATTAAATTTATGGACTTAAAATGTTTTAAGGGGCTAGGGAGATGGCTTTGTTGGGAAAATGTTTGCTTCCCACACAAGCATCAGGACCAGATTGACAGAGAGACCTTGTCTTAAAAAAAATAAATAAATAGGGTAGACAGGAAGTGAGGAAGACACAAGTAACTGAGCTCTGGCCTTCACATGCATATACACATGTATTCATACATGTATTATGTTCACTCACGCATACATGTGTATGTTCATCCATTCATTCACACGTACATGTGCGCACACGCACAAGCAGACTAAGGTAGAAAATAAGCTCAAAAAAAAAATGCAATTTAAAAACTCACATTTCAACAAGATGGTAGTATTTCTAAAAAGAATCTTTCCAAAACTAAAATAATTTTTCCCCTGCAAAGATAAAGAAAAGATAATTAGCATCAAGGCATTTTGATTTTCAAGACAGACTATGAATACCTAAATTTATAAAATATTCAAATTAATTTTCTTAATCAAAAGGACAACACCACCTTTTCTTTTAGTGAAGGTCAATCACATTCAAACTGTTGGCTCTCGCCTCTCAGGGTAGTCCTGATTTCCTACCCACAGGTCATAAAGCAGGGACTATCAATGGGAAGCTGCTACAAATCTCAACTTAACTTGAAAGCATCATCGTAGGGCAAAGGGGGCATGATTGCCAAGGCCTGCACTCCTGAGATGGACAGTTCCTTTTCTTCACTCACTAACCATTCCTAACAACCACCACCCACAGCTTTCAAATAACCTTTGAATAGTTTCACTTTTAAATTTCAAAGGACCCAAGTACTAATTATTTCAGTAACAGACAATTATAATTCAAAACCCAAAACCTTTGCCAAAATGAGTAAAAGCTGCAAAATTTGCGATGTAAATGTACAATGAACAGGACAAAGGCAAAACAAAAAAAGTCAACAAAACAGTTAATGGTTTTTAAAGCAGTTCTTGCCCAAAATCTGGGTTTTGTGGTTCAAAACACTACTCTGACTCAAATGAGGTCTTCAAACTGGGAGGGGAATAGGTCAACCTATCAGTTAACAACCCAAACGAAAGACTATCCTTGCCACATTGCATTTGAGAGTTTCCATTCTGGCAGTTCTCAAGTTAAAACGCATTTTTAAAAAAATCCCTATGTCCCCTAATCACAAAAACACTTCGAAGTTTAAACCCAATCAAGCCATCTCATCCGCAGAAATATTTTTACAACAGAATTAAAATTAAGACACTAGAGTTAAGAACTCCTATTTATCTGTCCCTTTCATCTACGCCTAGGTAACTGGATTTTGTGACATTCTAACTGAAAGAGAAACCATGGACCTGTGCATCAAGTTTCTCTGAAGTTCGGCGCTCAAAGTTCTGACTTTCCCCGTGAGAAGCCGCTTGGCTCCGACACTCCTCTCAGCTAGGGCAAACTGCGCTGCTCTTGGCTTAAGCAGGAGAGACCCTGGCCGCACACTCTGGGTATCCCACCCTCTTTGGAAACCGACTTTCCTGAAACCATCCTGGACCAAGGGGGCCACCGTAGCCCCACCTCTCATCCCCCTCCAGGCTCAGTAGCGACTCCAACACTCACCGACGGCATCGGAATGTGCCATTTTGATCTATCCGCGGCAAACACGGGTGCTGGTCCTGCACCAAAAAACGACAGTGGGAACGGCTGTGCCCCCAAAAGAAGAAAGACGACAGGAGACACCTGAAGCCACGCAGCTATCGCCATCTTCACAGCCATGAAGCGACTACCCAAAGCATTGAGCCTCCTTCCGGCTGACTAGTCCCGCCTTCTTCCGGCTTGTCGCACCCTCTTCCGGCTCTGCTCTGTGGGCGTGATTATCCGGGTCCTTGAAACTACGGCTCTTCCCTCCGAACGTCAGAGCGCGCCAGAAACTTTATGTCTACTGCGCAGGCGTCCTCACGTCTGAACCCAAGCGTCGCCTAAGGCTAACTATCGAAGCGTTTGAGGTCCGCTACTTCCCTCTGATCTTCTGCTATTAAAGGAACTTAGTGCGTTCAAGTCTCTGCTCCTCCCGCTTTTTCCCCCCCGCACCTCATCCTTTCCAGATGAAGGTCAGGCGCCGGTCAGAAGTCTGTAGAAGCGCGCGCACTGGATGCATGATTGACATCCAGCAGTAGTTCTTCGGCTGTGGAGCTGTGGAAGCAGAGCCTGGAACTTGGCAGGGCTGGAATAGAAGCGGTTCATGAGCTTCAAAGTCCCCTTTAACCACGAAAGACTGCAGATCAGCTGCAGCAGTTTGCCCGGCGACATCAGCGTCCAGCAGTGATCAAACGGCAGTCCCCACTCAAAGCTAAAAGTGGAGAGAAACTGGGGCAGCTTTCGGTTTCACAGGGTGACAGTCACTGAGACAGACCCTGGGGCTGTCTCGGTACTTCCTGTTTCTCACGCTCTAGACTTTAACCTTTTTGGGCTCTCTGCTTGCACGCCTCCTCGGCCACTCTCAACCAGTATTTACCAAGTATCTCCCAGTAGACGCTCTGGTTTGCGCCTGAGAAAAATTCCCGGAGAAAAAGTCAAGATTTGTCCCTCGCCCCTTAAACACCTGGAGAGGACTCTTCTTTCCCATAAATTTGACTGTGATGAAGTACGGGTCATGATTTAGCAAGTCTGTTTGTTGACTTCTTTTAAAAGATCGTCAGAGGCTGTGGCTTGAGAGTTAGGAGTCAGGCAGAGTTAACAGGGAAGCTATGGAAGCAACTGAGAAAGAGAAAATCAGGTAAAGGCCAATTTCTCCCGGAGGAACTTACTCCAAAACAACCTCTTAGCTTTGAAAGCTTCACTTAACGTTTTAATGGCACTTCCTTGAATGCTTGATACTCGCTTTGTGCTTCTTTCCTGCTTCTGCTGGAGAGTTGAGCAATGTTAATAGCTAACCTCTCGAAGTACTTCCAGGAGGGTTAGGTAACTTTAACAGTGAAAAGGTTGTCTTCCAAACTCTTAAAAGTGACTTTTAAGCGCGCTTCATTCCTCCTTTAGGTGGTTCCATCTCTTCCTGTGCCGCTCCACAGCTCCTTCAAAACTGGAAACCGAAGTCTGCAAGGCCTCCTAATGCTTGCACACACTTGATTAAGAAAAGCAGTATCAACAGACCGAGTTTAATGAAGGGTTTCATTTTTTACCACGCTAAAATACTTTTTTGGCATGGCTAAGTGTTTCTGCCTATCCAGGCTCGTTTTCATAGTTCGGCTTCCTTCAAATTTATGGACATGCTAACTGCAGTTGCAGGAAGACACACCTCTTTACCAAAACCAGCACTCCCCCTCCGCCTGGTAGCTTATAATTGTTTTAACTAACTGAAATACATATATATTCAAGTAGTAGTGTACTTCTTTTTACATTCTATTCCAGATGCAATACTTCTGGAAACTTGGTTTGAAAGGATATTAATCTCTCTATTGTTGGAATCCTCAGTTTTGCCTTTTATGTTTGTTCCTATTCTGATGCTTAGCAGCTGGCAAATACTTTTCTGAGAGGATGTGGAGCCTTGTCTGTGGTTGCCTGTTAGACTTTAGCAGAACATTTAGGCAGTCTATGGCTTCTTCAGGTCTAACCTCTCAGGAAGTAAATGCCCTGAAAATAGGCGAGGAGGCCGTTTGGCTGTTTTGGATTTAGATTTCAGATTTTAGTGTTGTGGTTATTATTTTTAAAGCTCCCTGCCTCATAATTGGCAGTGCCCTTTTCCCATGGCTTTCAGACGAAGCCCATGAAGATGCTCTGGTTCAGTTTGGTAGTTTTACAAAAGGATATTGTTCTGCTGCATAAATCCTGTTGTCCCGTGAAGTCTGAAGTGACAGCAGTGATGGAGTTTTGCAATGCAGAGTAAATTCCAAGAGTTTATACTATATAATTAGGAAAGGTACAAACAATGAGCTCACAGATGTTATATAAAATGTATCTCTTAAAATGTCTTCTTTAGTGTTGAAGATGAAGCTGTGGATAAAACCATTTTCAGAGACTGTAGCAAGATTGCTTTCTACAGGTAAGTAAATAGACCACCCAGAAAACATTCCTGTCAGTATTTCCAAATTAATTCCACTAAGCTTTTGAGAAATGGGGGCAGGCGGGGGGGGGGGTGTTAAGAAGATGATCTTTAGGAAAACTAATGAATCATTTTATATACTTATTACTACTAAATAATTTAAATTGTATTTTTTTTTGGTCTTGGTTTCTTTATGTAGCCCTGGCTATCCTGGAACTTGGTCTGTAGACCAGGCTGGCCTCCCAGGTGCTGGAATTAAAGGTGTATACCACTACCACCCAGCCTGTATTATTTTTGAAAGCTAAAATATTCTTAAAATGTGCACTTTCAAAGATAATACACTGACCTGGCTTGAAAATCATATACGGTACATATTGAAAATATTACTCCTGCCTCTACTTCTCCATCATCTTGTCCCTTCAAGTCAGCATATTTATTAATTTCTTATCTATTCCTCCAGTATTTTTCACAAATACATATATTCTTTTTTTTTTCTTTATACCTGGAGGGACAGCGTGGGTGCTGGGAACCGAACTCTTATATTTTTGGTTGTGAGCCTAGCCTTTAACGGCTGAGCCATCCCTCCAGGCCAAATACATATATTCTTATATCACCTCTTTCCTTACACCTACAAATAGATTTCTATATGCATTGTTGTGTGCCCCTCCCCCCGCTTTATATATTTAGTCGGGACAGCTCCCCTTCAGTACATGGGCGTTTCCCTCTACTTTGTGCTCATGGTATCTCACTGGGTAGATGCTCTATAATTTATTTTGTTCTAGACCCATTTGCTAGAGCCTCAGATTGTGACTTCTTTTTAATCTTTTGCTCTGAGAGTGTTAGCATATGCAGAGATGTGTATGTTATTCTCTATACCTGCAAGTGATTTGTAGGAGTGGAGCTGGAGATGTGACTCCATATCTTGTGCAAGGCTCTAGGCCTGATCCTCAGCACTAAGGAGAACAAAACAGCAAAAACAAATGAACGAACAACAATAAAAAGTAGGATTTCTAGGAATTTGGTAACTGGATCAAAGAGTAAATACAATAGAAATGTGTTAACTATTGATATATTTCCCTCTGTGGGGATCTTTTATACTTACTTTAATATTTTTGAGGATATTAGCCTAGAAAAAAGTGCCTTTAAAATCATCTTTTAAAACGTCTAGTTTGGTGGGATCCGTGGATTAGTTGGTTCAAGAGCCTGATTTTTACCTATTTTTATATGGTTTTGAACCTGAAATCATGTAAATTAATTTTTTGTTTGTTTGTTTAATTTTGTTTTTGTTTGTTTATTATTTTGGACATCGTCTCACTCTATAGATCTGACTGGCATTGGACTGACAACAGCCTGCCTGCTTCTGCCTTCTGACCTGAGATTGAAAGTGCTATGCCCCATGCCCAGCAAAAATTGTTTCGTGTATTTTTAAGTCTCTATTTCAGTCATTCTCTGTTCTAGGGGAAAAAAAGATGTCGTTTTAACTCAAAACAGTTATTTTAGAGGAAGGTACCTTGTTAAACCAATAGCCCACACTGAATTTCCACAAGAATCCATGAATTACTACTAAAGTTCCATTTCATGAAAAGGAGGAGAAAATTTGAGCTCATAAAAGTTATCTTTCAAGTTTGGGATGGGGAAATGGCTTAGTAGGTGAAGTACTTGCAACAAGACCTGAGTTTAATCCCTAGAACATATTATAAAACTACCAGTCATGAGCACTTGCAATCCCAGCCCTGGGGAGGCAGAGACAAACAGATCTCTAGGCCCTCCTGAGCAGCCAGCCTAGCCTGCTCGCCTAATCCCATGCTAGTAAAAGACACTGACTTAAAAATAAAAAGAACAGTCTCTAAGGAATGATACCTGAGGTTGTTTCCTGGCCCCCCACTCACATGTTCATATCCCTATATAGGCACATACACCTGTACATGTACACACACATAACATATACAAAAGAAAGGAAATATGTAATATGTCCCAATTTCTCAATAAACAAGACAAGATGCCATTCTTGAGCAGTATTATGTTGAAATTAATGTTATTTTAGTGATAATTTTACTAGAACACTAGTAATATATTCTTGGTACTTTATAAGAGTATCAGTACTGTCTGTTCCAGTCACTTACTCTGATAGTCAATTTTACTGACATTGACATAATGATATAGTCTATTAGATACAGACAAGTAGCAAGCAGTTCTTATATAGCTGTATTATTTTGTTCTTATATTGCTTTTTATTGCTGTGATTAAAGACCATGATCAAGCCTGGCACACCTTTAATCCAAGCACTTGGGAGGCAGAGGCAGGCAGACCTCTGTGAGTTCGAGGCCAGCCTGGTCTACAAGAGAAGTCAGGACAGGAACTCAGTGCAGGAACCTGAAGCAGAGACCATGGAGGAGTGCTTCTTACTGATTATCTCCCCCCCCCCCCCCCCCCCCCCCGCTTTCTCAGCTACCTTTCTTAAATCACCTGCAGCATCACCCATGGTGGGCTGGACCTTTCCACATCCATAAATTAATCAAGAAAAAGCTCCCACATACTTGCCTACAGCCCAGTCTGTTGGAGGCATCTTCTCATTTAAGGTTCCCCCTTTCCAAATGACTCTAGTTTGTGTCAAGCTGACAAACTAATCAGAACAATACTCTGTATCTGTAGACGGCAGAAACAGCAGCTCTCCAAGAACCCCACCTACCAGGCATTGTTAGATGCAGTCACAACAGAACCAGACAGGACCAGCTTCCAAATCGTCAGTGAAGCAACTAAGGTGAGGTGGAAGAACAATTTACTTTTGTTTATTGGGATTGAACTATATTCATTTCTTTTTGTTTTTGTTTTTCAAGACAGGGTTTTTAATGTATCCCTGGCTGTCCTAGAACTCACTCTGTAGACCAGGCTGGCCTTGAACTCACAGAGATCTACCTGCCTCTGCCTCCCAAGTGCTGGGATTAAAGGTGTGTGCCACCACCACCTGGCAAATTATTTCTATGACAGCTATCTATGCCTTAGTAGCTTTGTTAGAGAAGAAATATTACACACATACACACACACACACACACACAGATCCTATATTAATTCTCTTTGAGGGAGGGCTGCATGCGGCCCAGTTGACCTCCAGCTTTTTATTTGACTGAGGCTCCTCTAACTCCCTACCTCCTTCCTCTGTCTCCCAAGTGCCACAATTACATGCTTCTGCTGCTGTATCCAGCCAGTCTTACCTCCGTAGTAATGTGAATATCAACGGAGAGATTGTCTGTGTATCACGTTTCTCTAGATGTTTTACATGTGTTATTTACTTTTAACTTGTAATGCACTTAAGACATGCATTGCATTGTCCCCAATTATCAAACAAGGAAAATGAAATCTAGGAAGACATTTGCCCTGTGTTACATAGCTTTAATTTTCTGTCTTTGACAGATTCTGCCAAAGATCCATACACTTTCCAGCTTTGTATTGTAGAATAGTTTCTCATGAAGCCTGAACAAGGGGCAGATTCAACAAATGTTCAAAATTCAAAATTTAGGTTGCCAAAGAACCGATAAGAGTGTTGTGTAGTAGAAAATCCAAGACATGATGATTCTGACTCTGAGCTTTTTCACTAGCTGGTCACCATAGCTCCTACAAAGTAAAGAAATTTCAGTAGGATATTCTAAGGACTTTTGTCTCACCTTTCAGTTGATCACACTGCTTCATATGTGTCACAGAGATGGGTCAGTTATGGAATTATTTTGAGCTGGACCAGAAAGTGAGACTGCACAAGTCCTAACCCTGACTTTCAGTACTCCTCCACCTCCTAAGCGCAGCTTAAGCTTCTAGAGCCTCTCAGACCAATATGCATTAGCTGGTATTTCTTGAAACAGAAACAGTTTCTTAAGACTGTGGTCTGGGTCCACTAACCGCTCACAGTGACTCCACTAACTGTCCAACTGTTGCCAGTTCTCGGCCAGTTGAACGTTGTGTGAAAACTCCCTGTGACTGCACAGCTCCCGTTGTGTAATGCTGTATTGAGGAAATGCAACAGAAAACAGGATAAAAATTATCCCACAGTGTTGGAGGAGGTTCTCTAGGACCTTAATTTAGAAACTACTAATGTGCCACAAACTCTACTCCCAGATTAGTGACCCCACAAGAGACTTTCCAGGAAACTTTGGGCTTACCACCAGATGTCAGGCACTTCCTTGTCTTGTTTTTTCTGATAATTTTTTAATTTCCTTGTTCTCTTCATTGTATCTGACTGCAGCAAGTTGTAGTGGCCATGATCTGGAAATAAAACCCTTATCAATCCTTGTGATGGCTGAGTGTATAGAACCTGTTGAACAATCCACTATCATAACAATGCCAAAGCAGCCAGGTGGTGGTGGCGCACGCCTTTAATCCCAGCACTCAGGAGGCAGAGGCAGGCAAATCTCTGTGAGTTTGAGACCAGCCTGGTCTACAAGAGCTAGTTCCAGGACAGCTAGTACTGCTACACAGAGAGACCCTGTTTCAAAAAACAAGAAAACAAACAAAAAAAAAAGTGAAGGCAAAGAAAATAAGGTAGAATTACTTCAAATACCATAAATAAACCAAAATTCACTTCTTAACATAGCTTGACACCAATTCAGTGAGTGCTAGACTCCTGCACATGCTTCCTTATGTTGTAAGAGATCATTCTTTTCTCTTTGAATCCTAAACATTGAGAGGCAAGGTAATTCAAGTCACGTGCCAACCAGAGCCCAACAGATCTGGATGACCTCCAAAAAGAAGACTTTAGAGTGCAGAGGGGCCCAGAGAATGGATCTTAACACAAGACAGCACATGGCTCAGAAAGGAGCCAGGAAGTCCATCAAGAAAGAGCAAATTATCCAAAATGTCAGCAGAAAAGCCCCCAAGACTGAGAACTTTGTAGCTACTTAAAGCATACTCCACGTTCAAATATCAAGACTGTATTGGAATCTGTGTAATCTGATCTCAAGCAGATGTATATTTTAAAAAGTCACCCTGAAATTCTGCCTAATTACATTTTAATGTTCAAGTGAGATGTTCAGGTAACTAGAGGGATTAGGATTCCGTGCCCTCTTTTGGTTTGATGGACAGTAAAGATAATACTCTTCAGAGGTAATCTGAGAAGTTGTCAGTACTTTCTAACCATCTCATTGCATAGGAACAGGGTCAAAGGTCATTCCTAGGCTGAGACAAATGTATTAAGGACGTGGTCCAGAGATTTAAAACAAGCTGCGTATGTGCATCTGATAAGAATGAAAGCTTTTTTCTTTCAGGTTCAGAGAGACAAAGTCCAGAATCTAAGAGGATCATATTCAGCTCACAGCTGCACTTCTCCAATTGCACTGAGCAGGCAAATTCTGACAAACCAGGAACTCCTTGTGCCTGCCTGCCCAGCTGCCTAACCCCACACTTTTAAAACCTTAAATGATTGACTTCAGAGTTTGACTTCTTGTCAATTTTGAAGTCTAGTTCTTTTTCCCAAATCCACTCCTAATAAGCAATGAGGAAACAGAATCAAGCTTTAGCAATATTCTCTTAGTTTGCTTTGGCTGCATAACAAAATACCAAAGACCGAGTGACTTAAACAACAGACTTAGTTTTCAAGAAGCCAACACCCACATCAGGAAATGGCTCTCTTTCTGGCTTACAGACCTCATATCCCACATGATTGGAAAACACAGGCAAAGCAAATTTTATTCTTTTCTTATAAAGGCAGTAATTCCATTCCAAGGACTCCCCCTCATGAGCTCTCATAGGCCTAATATCACATAGCAGTCAAAAATAGTACATTTGTAAATAAACAGGTAAATGTCCAATAAAGAAGCTGTTAGAAGAAAAAACTAAGGAAAATGACTAGAAAAGTGTTCACTTTAAAATTCTGTTCTGGTCTGATTTTTCCCTCCTACTGTTATCAACGTTTTGCCTTGAATGAAAACATGACACAGGTTGGACAGCAGAAACCGGCCTTTTGGCGCCAATACAGGGAAATGGATGTTGTCCATTAGCGAGGTTAGCTGGACTAAAGCTTTATCTTTAATGTACTTTATATTGATAACTTTGGTGTTTTCTGCTGATTTGATTAAATATTTGTAAGCATTTTTACTTTCTTTTGCAGCCTGTTAGCGTGGTTTCACCAGAGATGCTTCTAGCAGCTTCTTTGAGGATCCAAGTATATTGCTAAGCCTCTGTATGGAGCTACTCCTTGCCTCTTCATTTAAGTGGGATTAAGATGAGACTTTGCCAACTAGCCACCTCCTCAGCAGATGGGGCACAGCTGCTCCTTAGCAAGTGGTGTTCATCCTGAGTGGCCAACAAGCAGTTAATTGGGAACTGGCCAAACAGAACCATGCCTGGATAGGCTAATTGCCCTCCAGAAATGGGCTAAAAATTAGCAGGAGGTCACCATCGTTCTCCATGGAGAATCCATGCTTGCAGTTATCACAAATAGCTGAGACCATTAAAAAGAGCAAAATAGCACACTATAACATGCAAACAAATAAGCTGAAGACAGCTAACTTGTATATCTAGAAAAGGAGTATGGCATGCTTGGGCTCAGGTTGTAATGCCGCTAATCATAGCATAGTTTCCGTTCCCACCAGCTATTGCATAAGCACTGCTCAGAGTCTTTGCTGAGTTCCAAGGGAACTACTGTTCCTCCTCCTGACCTAATTGAGGGCTGCTATGACAAGATCTAACGCAGCCCTCTGGAGGAGCTGTAGGCAAGCTCATCTGGTGACCATCAAGGCTTTTCATAACTCAAATGAAGGTTTCCGCAGTAGAGTGAGGCATGTTGAAGCAGACATGTGTGGGTACAGCGGCATCTTGGCTGCAGTGTTCTATGTGGCTGAGGTATAGCTTCCACAAAGCCTTTTCTGAATTGTTCAAGGCAGCTGGTGTGCCATGGCAACAGCTGCCAAAGGAAGAAATGTTCAACTTACACTTAGGAGCAGCTGGGCATAAGGGAGAGATTAGTTATCAGCCAAAGGCTCGAAACTTCACACACACACACACCCCAAAAGGTCGCATAGCCTATCTAAACAAAAAGACAAAAACACGAGAGGTTGTTTACAATAAGGGCCCATTGTTTACATTTTTCTGTTTTGTTTTGTTCGTTTACAGTCTTAACATTATTTGATGATATTTAACTCACAGGCAGAAAAGATTGGGAAGAATCTCATCCAGGGTCATCTGGGGAGAAAGAGCTTCCATTGATAGCATGCCTCCATCAGGTTAACCTGTGTTGTGGGGCATTTTCTTAATTATTGATGTAGGAGAACTCAGCTATCTGTGGGAGATGGCATCCCTGGGCAAGTAGTCTTGAATTGTGTAAAGTAGATATCTGAGCAAGCCATGAAGAGCAAGGCAGTAAGCAGCACCCCTCCATGGTGTCTGCATCAGTTCCTGCCTCGAGTTCCTGCTCTGACCTTCATGGTAGACTGTAAGATACAATATAAAATAAACTCTTTTCTTATCAAGTTGCTCTTAGCAATAGTGTTTATCACAGCAAAAGATACTTAACTTATCCTCCTACCAATTCTTGAAGGCCCTCCTTAAGTCCCTTCCTCCAAGAGAGACTTCCCAGGCTTTCGCCTTGCACACATTAGTACTCCCCTTACTATTTTGCCACTAATTCTGTACTTGTACTTTTAGCTTCATGTAAATTTTATGTAGGTATCATCTTCTCTAAATTGCAACCCCTCTAGGAGTGTAGTGGTCACAATATTGCATATAAAATAAATGTTAGTTATTAAAAAGAACCACAAGACTGTATGTCTGGCTTGTGAGAAATAGATCATATGAGTTTCAGCTCTTTTTGTATTGGGGCATTTTCAAATGTTGGGATTCTAATGGCATATTCAGAACAACTCAAGTATGTGAAAAAGTGAGCATGTAAGCAGTCATTGTAGTCAGTTCTATAGCAGTCCTGTATTAGAGTGGCTATGAATGCATCTACAGCCACAGCACCAGCTGGTAGCGCTTCAGGACAGTATTACTGATACTGGGCCCTGACTGCTCTCCTATAGTCCCAGAGGCAAGGTGGTTCCAGTCGCATGGCTTTTCAAATGCTGCTGTTGTTTTCAGTGCCACCTGTCTTCTGCTTTCACAACCTCATGTCGTTTACACTACATTATGTGGCCTTTACGGCTGAGCCTACATCATAGCAGACATAATAACAATGTTGGTACCCATGTGTAACCAAAGCTCAGCAGCATGCTTCATGAAGAATTTACAGTAGACTAGTGATGTGGAATTCCCCTCTGTATACTGTGAATGTTTTTTTTTTTTGTCACCATTGGTTATTAAAGAAGCTGTTTCAGCCAATGGCTTTGTAGAGGAAAGCTAGGCAGGAAATTCGAACAGAGATATAGAGAAAAAGTAGGCAGAGTCGGAGAGACACCATGTAGAAGGAGACAGACGCCAGATCCTCACCAGTAAGCCACACCCTCGTGCTAATGTACAGATTAATAGAAGTGGGTTAATTTAAGATGTAAGAGTTAATAAGAAGACTGAGCTAATGGGCCAAACTGTGTTGTAATTAGTATACTTTCTGTGTGATTATTTGGGAAACAAAAGAGCAGTCTCCACCTACAGACTAGTATGATACATTTGGTTAAAAACTTGTCTCTAAGTCATCCTCTGATCTAGGTGCTTCGTTTTCTGACACAAATCCAGCCATTTCTGTTCCTGTGAGGTCTCTGCTGTTGTTCTGAGTATTATTTTTCAGGTTTTCTCTCTTTGTAGTTTTGTGTTGTTTCCATCCCTCTTGAATATTTTTCCCTAGATTCCCCAGCCCTTTGAGAAAGTTCCCTAGAAGCCTATTGTTTTTGCTGGCTGTAAAATATCTGTTGATTTTAGTTCAGTGAGCCTCATTTTATCCATGCTTAAGAATGGTAAAAATGCTTTTTCTCAATTCTTTTCCTGGGCATGATTCTTTCGTCTTTCATTCAGCTGGAGCCTGGCTACCCTGAATTTAACACCCAATCTTTTAGCACTTCTGTGCCTGGTCATATGTCCTGATTTTGTCAAGTCTGGTTGCAGCTTATGCAATTATCTAGTTTAATTATTAGCAGAGACCCCTTTTACTCGAAGATCCTAGTTTGGATAATCATGTTTACCTAGCCTCAGACACACAGATGATGTTTCTTGTGCTATAGCCTTAACCAAGCAAGTACAGGCATAGATTTGGAATGTGTTTTTGTTTTTGTTGTTGTTGTTGTTTTTGTTTGCTTGGGGTTTTTTTTTGGTTTTTTTTTTTTTTGGCCAGCATTTTTCAATTTGCTTAGCCTATGGTAATTTAAAGAAATGCTTTTCTAATTATTGTAATTTGACTATTAGAATAGATTATCACTGAGGTAACCTTTTGAAGCTACTCTTACACCTCTACTCCCAGGTTCCTCTCCGGGTTGAAGTTTATGGTATAGAGAAAAATATTTTCAGACTTAAAATCAATGAAGAAACGCCACTGAAACCAAGGTATGAAGTCCCTGATGTCATCACCAGCAAGCTAGAAACTGTAAGGTAAGCCGTGGGAAGGGTCTATTATGCACAACCTTGGCATGTTTTTTTAATCATAACTTGAATGCACCCCCTATTTTGTTTGTTCAAAGTTATAATCAGTTGGCTACAGGGTTAATATTTAATCATTTGGGGATATATTTATAAATTTTCTACATCACCTATTATGTTTTTCTTTATCTCCCATTCCAAAACTGTTTTGTCCCTCCAAATGAGAAGAGACAGAAATTTGGGCCAGCCCTGTTTCTCACAACAAAAATAGTTTATTAGGCAGAGGTTGGAACCAAGCAGAAGAAAAGCTATTTAATTTGCTCACTCAGATTAGCACCATGGCTCAAGAGATCTAATACACTAGCTAACTCTTACAGTGATTTATACAGCTAGACAGACTCACTTTTAATTAAGGGTGTTCTCGGAAGCCTAACGTATAATTTTACTTAAAGCCCCAGAGATGAATTAATGATTAGTATCTAGGTGAGAAAAATCTCTAGGGATTAAAGGATTTTTCAAGTACTCATAAAATTTCTATCAGTTCTCTGCAGACATTCGGGTAAAACATCAGTTGCATTGCCTGGTGATTCCTGTTGCTTTGTCACTGAAAGAATATAAGGTTAAGACAGATGCTTTAATTTCCTCCACATCCTACCACAGTTTTATGTAGGTTGTTTTCCATTGAAACACATGGTCCATGGATACTAAAGATTACATAAACACTGTGTGATAAGTATCGCTGTTGGTTCTGCTTCGGTTCCAACTACTTTTTGGGGGACCTTTCGCTACCAAAATAACAAAAACACTGAAAGCAGCCTTTGCCCTTTCCCAGGCCCCTTTCTAGCTAGAGTTTCTGATGTGGTTCACTTTCTGCCAATCATGTGCACTTAACAAAAATTTTCAGTACTATTGTACTTATCTGATCTGGCAACTGTAGACTGGCTATCAGGCCACTAATAGGGCCACAGGTCCCTAAGCTTGATATTCCAGCTAAGATGGCATGATCCTGGAGCTAAGCAGTAGCCACGTGACTTCTGATTTCTCTGTTTCTGATTGTAGTGGAGATATAAGTTTACTGACTGTCTAGTTATCCAGGTTTATGCTTGGAGCATTTACCGGAGAGCTAACCCATTGTCTAAACCCTCCTAATGATGTAATAGACAACCAGTTCTCTTTGGTAAATTACATTGTTTCTACTTAAAATAACCAGGACTGTTTCTGTTATTGTCAGTCCTGGTTGACAATCACAGTAGTTGATATGAGATTAACCAGCTGACACAGTTGGCAGTGAAGGGTACCATTGAAGGATAGAATACCAGTGCTGGGAGCAGAATTGTGTCTTCCTGTCCCCCAAATTTATATGCTGAAGGCCTCATCCCTAGAACCTCAGAACACAACTGCCTTTAGAGATGTATTAAAGTGATAGTTAAAACAGGAACATGGTAGTGGTGCCCTAATACATCCCGACTGCTCTCCCTGTAAACTCAGAAAACTCGGGTGACGCATACACAAGGATATTCAGTGACAAAGGCAGCCATCTGCAGGCCATGGAGTGAGGCCTTATGACAAGCCAACCTGCTAACACCTCGGTCTTAGAGTTTCAGAACTGTGAGAAAACGGGCTGCTAGCTAAACAACCCAGCCTGTGGTAATTTGTCATGATAACCCAGCAGCCTGACACAGAGGACTAAACCGCAGCATTCTGTGCTCTTGCTAAGTTTCTGGTGATAGTCAGCTGTACTGAGGGGCTTACTGAAAGCAAACCACATGGTGGGGATATAGCACATTGTGACTGCCACTCAGAGGAGACCTGGCTGACATCAGCCTCTCTGAAGCATTTGATGACATAAAACAACCACCTCAAGGTTTTAAATTCTGAACTCACAGCACTGTTAGAAAACCACTTCATTTCTATGACAATCTCATGTCCTATCTGGCTACAGATACAGACTCAGAGTTTTATATCACAAGTTGCTGAATTAAATCATAAGCTGAGTCCACAGCCTACTCAGATCTGTGATTTAGGGCATCAACTGCAGAAATTATGAATGCCAGCATTTGAGATTTGTATAAATATAAATTCCCAAATTCCAAGCTCCAAGGAGCCTTCCATTCCAGCAGAAACCCCTCTTCCTGCTCCTTTGTGAATGTTTCTTATGTACACTCACACTACACATGTGTGGTTGCCTGAGGAGGGCAGGAAACGGCATCGGATCCCCTGGAGCTGGAGTTACAGGCAGTTGTGATCTGCCAGATGTGAGTCCTCCCCAATAGCAGCTATCACTCTTGGCTGCTGGGACATCTCTCTGTCGCCTTCCTATTCCTTCTGATAAATTGTCCCTGTCATGCCTGAGCACAACGAATAGACCTCGGCTGAGAATGACTTTGCAAAGGGATTTCTGTCTTTGTTATGCCTCACCTTTACCAGCCTTCACTGCCTCCAAACCAGAGAGCCTATTACAGCCAGCCTCATGAGGAGAAGAATCACCTGCCTGGAGAAGTATGAGATTGTCATAGTGCCAGTGCAGCCGGGCGGTGGTGGTGCACGCCTTTAATCCCAGCACTCGGGAGGCAGAGGCAGGCGGATCTCTGTGAGTTCGAGGCCAGCCTGGTCTAGAAGAGCTAGTTCTAGGACAGGCTCCAAAACCACAGAGAAACCCTGTCTCAAAAAAAAAAAAAAATAAAAATAAAAAATAAATAAATACATAGTGCCAGTGCAATGACTCAGCAGAAACAGGTGCTGCCTCTAAGTCAGATGACCCGAGTTTGGGCCTTAACCCCTGTAAGCTGTCCTCTCATTCCGCGTTTGCACACCCCTACACATACACAACGGCACACAAAATAAAATTTTAATATCTAAGTTAAAAAATTAAAAATAAATAAGAATATTTAGATTCTGTGTGCCCAAGTGTCACTAGACTTTATAGACAGAAATGGTAATGATGATGAACATTTGGTTGCATTTCCAACCTGTACCAATTACTTTGAATGTATGATTTCACTTAATTTTTCCAAAATTTCTACTAGTTTTTAATTTTATGTATATTTCATAGACAAAGAATTAATCATAGGAGGTTGAAGTATATGGTGGAGTTATGTTCTGTCCAAGCTCTTTCCTTTCCTCTCCACAATGGCTCCTACTGTAGACCTACCTATTCCCTGTCATAGGAAGACTCATTCGGTGACCAACACTCCGAATTGCAAATCACGTAGACTCATGTAAACCTGTAGCAATTTATTTTTCTCTTCCTGCTCTATTGTCCAGACTGGTCTCGTGCTCAGGGGATGCTGGCAGCCTGATACTGACAGACGGAAAAGGCGACCTGAAGTGTCATATCTCAGCAAACCCATTCAAGATAGACTTGGTGTCTGAGGACGAGACTGTGCTCAGCATCAACTCCCTGGGCCAGTTATACTTTGAGCACCTACAAAATCCTCACAAGCAAAGGTATTTATATGTACATTACTTGACCCTTAAGGACCTACCTTAATAATAAAACTCTGTAAATACCAGCTACCTCAAACTCAGGTCCTCCTGCCTTATTGGCTGAGCTTTCTCCCCTCCCCCCCACACACAAAAAAATTGTTACTGTTCCTCTGTTTAAAAAAAAAAAAAAAACAGCTCCTTGCTTGTGCTCTCTCTCCTTCTGCTCCTGATTTGGACCTTGAGATTTCAGTCCGGTGCTCCAATGTGGGTCTCTGTCTCTGTCTCCTTTCATCGCCTGATGAAGGAAGGTTAATATTCAGGAGGATGCCTATATGATTTTCTTTGGGTTCTCCTTCTTATTTAACTCAGGACCGCGAGGGGTGCACCCATACACTGAGACAATGGGGATGTTCTATCAGGAACTCACCAAGGCCAGCTGGTCTGGGTCTGAAAAAGCCTGGGTCAAAACTGGTCTCGGTGAACATAGTGGACAAGGAGGACTACTGAGACCTCAAGAACAATGGCAATGGGTTTTTGATTCTACTGGACCTATTGGTTTCGTGGGAGCCTAGGCAGTTTCGTGGATGCTCACCGTACTAGACCTGGATGGAGGTGGGTGGTCCTTGGACTTCCCACAGGGCAGAGAACCATGATTGCTTTTTGGGCTGACGAGGGAGGGGGATTTGATTGGGGGAGGGGGAGGGAAAGGGGAGGCGGCGGTGGGGAAGAGACAGAAATCTTTAATAAATAAATAAATAAATTTAAAAAAAAAAAAAACAGTTGAAGAATGTGGTAGTTTGAGTAAGATGTCTCCATAGCCTCTGGCTTGAATACTTGGTCGCCAGTTGGTGGTGCTGTTTGAGGAGTCTTAGGTATAGTCTTGTTGAAGTATGTCACTGGAACCAGGCTTTAAGGGTAAAAAGACACACACCACCCCCAGTTCACTTTCTGCTTACTGCTTGTGATTCAAGATGCAACCCGCAGCTCCTGCTCCAGTTGTCAGGTCTGTTGCCTACGACCTCCACACCAACATCATGGACACACAGGAATCCTCCACCCAAATAAATGTCTCTTTCTGTTGCCTGGGTCACCGTGTTTCATCACAGCAACAGAGAATAACTGATAGAATATTTATATGATAATGACAGAGTAGTCAGAATTTTAGGTATTTTTATTTTCCCTTCTTTTCATTACTTTTTAATTTTTCCACAATGGGGATATATTAATTTTATGATAAGTAGTAAGATTTTCCAGTGCTAACATTTCAAAATAAAAATGTTACAATTTAAAAAAATCATGTAGAAATAAATAATGCGAAATGTTTCTGTAGGCCACATCACTTATTCTGATGATAAAAGCAGCAAGTGTAGACTGGGAGACCTTAAAACAACACTTGGTGAAAATGGGAGAGTCCTCTCTTCCAGACCATCCCAGTCTTGGCAGCAAGCACCTTTGCCCACCGAGCCAACTTCCTATCCCTCCTACCCTCACTGACCTTGAAGTTGCTATGCAGGCAACGATGACTGAACTTAGCCCTCTAAATCCTTAGAGTAGTTATGTGATGCCATGCCTGGCCTATAATGATGTCATATTTAATAAATGAAAGGATAGAATTTATGAAGACTTGGAAATGAGAGTTTTTGTTACTGCATTAAATCCTGCCAGTCTTCCTGTTGCCTGAAGCAACTTTATCTGTGTTTAAAACAGAGCTACCAAAGGGAACCAGGAGAGTGTGCCAGCTGACTCCTCTCAGGTAATTGAGATCTAGCAATTCACTCTTGATTTTCTTTAACACCCATGTAAGCATGTAGTGGATTCTGCTCCCCTCCTCTCCGGAAGGATGCTTGGTAAGTGTGCTGCTGTATGTAAAAGGGGATTTCTTGTCTTTGTCTGTTTGCTCACCTTAGCACCTTAGTCTTCTTTGTGTGTGTGTGTGTGTGTGTGTGTGTGTGTGTATGCCAAAAGTGGAAGCCAGAAATCAGTACCAGTGTCTTCCTCAAGTATTCTCTATTTACCTCTTATTACATTTCATTTCCTTGTGTATGTGTGTGTATGCGCATGTGTGTGTGCATGTGCAGTATATACGATGTGTACTATATCCATATATTTCTTTTGTTGGCAGGAAGGAACACAAAGGGAAAGGAGACAGGTAAATGCTAAAGAGCTAGGCAAGGCTGTTCTATGGAGAGACTAGCAATGCTCTTTTTCTTAATAAAATCTGTTGAAGACTGCCGCCTATAGGGCAGGCACTGTTAAAGAAATTGGTAGTTCATCATTAAACTGACTTAAGGTTCTTGTCCCTCAGAGTGTACCTCTTTTAAGCTGACCTTTTTCAGTTGACCTATGTAGATTGACGTTTCTTTCCTGCCCACCAGTTCCCACATAACCAATATGGAGACTTAATATTAATTATAAATGTTTAGCCGATAGCTCAGGTTTATTACTAACTAGACCTTACAATTTAAACTAACCCATTTCTATTACTCTACATTCTGCCACGTGGTGCTATGTCTCTTTCATCTTACACCTCCTGTTTCCTCTCCATGTCTTGTTGGTGACACCTCAAATTCTGTCCTCCTTCTTCCCAGCGTTCTCTCTGCCCCAAAAATCCTGCCTAGCCATTGGCCAATCAAGTTTTTTATGAACAATGAAATACATATTTACAGTGTACAAAGATGATTCCACAGCAACCCTAAGAACAAAGAAGGTTTTAAACACAGGGATAAGTGGTCTCACTTCTATTTTTAAAAGATTATTTTGCTGAGTTATGAAGAATAGACAACTAGAAGTCTTTTGTATTTGTGCATGTGGGTGTGGTATGCGCATGTCTGTGCACATGTGTACATGCATGCATATGTGAAGGCCAGAAGTTGTCATTTTCAATTACTCTCCACCTCGTATGGCAGTCTCTCACCTGCTGGGGTTTGTACGTTCCAGTGTAGGGGCGTGTGGATTAGAAAGATTAGGTCTGAGGAACAGAGATATGAAAGAAACACTGAGACATAGGATAGTACTGTGAGGGCAACTCAATTAATACTGAATCTGCCTGCATTTATTTTCTGTATGTTTATATACCCCAATCCAAAAAGGAGGGAAGAAGGCAAAAGACTGCTTTAACATGACACAAAGGACAATCAGAACAGTTACTTGTTTCAATTCTTAAGACATCAAGGCACTATTTCGTGAGTTAAGCATTCTGATGTTTTGGGCAGGATATGCAGCAAATATACCTTAGACAAAGTATCCTGTATGCAGTCACTCCCTTGGTCAAACCTCCTGTTTTAAAATGAATGGAAAAAATATATATATAAAAAAATAAAATGAATGGGGCAGGAATAGGCTTAAATTCTCTGACCTTTGGTCTGGTTGGAACAGACCCACCTCTATGAGCCATCTTAATGTCCAATACACCAAGTAGCCACACCCTAGGTCAGGATATCTTATTTGTAGCCACACTTGTTGTCAACAACTTTGAAAGAGTAAAAACAAGCTCAAACTCTCTAACCTTTAGTCAAGGTGGAACAAGACTCACATCTGTGGGCCCCCACACTCACCTGAACTCAAAATTTAACTAATTTAGCTAGTGTGTCAGGCTTTCTTTTGGACCACCGGCCAGCTCTCAAATCAAGGCACAGAGACTTATTAGTTTTGAGTGCTCGCCTTATCTTGGCTCTTATTTCTTGATAGCCCTTTTAACTTAAATTATCCTGTTTCTCTTCATCTATGTTTTGCCTTGGGGTTTTTTACCTTTCCTTCTGGATATCTTACTTTCACAGCTTCTCATGTCTAGCTGGCTGGCGAGTTCCTGCCTTCTGGCTGCGGACATATCACTCTCATTCTCCCTTGTTCTCCTTCTTCTCTTGAGCCTAATTTTCCCCTACTTATTCTCTTTCTACCCACCAGCCCGCCTATCCTTCTCCTGCCTAGCTGTTGGCTGGTCAGCCTTTTATTAGACCAATCAGGTGTCTTAGGCAGGCAAGGCGAAACAAATGCAGCATGCCTTTACATAATTAAACACAGCACAAACAAATGTAGCACATCTTCACATCGTTAAAGTCATATTCCACAGCATAAACAGATGTAACGTATCTTTGCCTAGTTGAAATATTCCACAGCAAGCTCGTCTTCTAGTCAGCTTGTCTGGGGATCACGTGTCTGCCTCCCTAGTGCAGTGCACTATGTCTACCCAACATTTACAGGGATACTAAGGATTGAACACAAGTCTCCACACATTTAACAGCAAGTGCTTTACCACTGAACTGTCTCCCCAGGATTCTGTAGCCCATGCTGGTCTGAAATACATTATGTAACCCAGACTGGCCTCCAACTCACAGCTATCCTCCTGCCTCAACCTCCTGAGTGTGGAGGTTCTGTGTGTGTGTACCAGCATACCTGACTGTTTGCAATGATGAAAGTATTTCTGGTGCCCTAAGGACAAAGTTTATTTTTTCCCTTTGGTTTTTCAAGATAGGGTTTCTCTGTAGCTTTGGAGCCTGTCCTGGAACTAGCTCTTGTAGACCAGGGTGGCCTTGAACTCACAGAAATCCGCCTGCCTCTGCCTCCCAAGTGCAGGGATTAAAGGCATGTGCCACCACTGCCCGGCAGTTTTCTTTTTCTTAAGGCTCATCTGTATTGATGAAGATGAGAAAGCTGTTTCAGAGCAGAGAGGGTGAGTGCATGACTATGGACTGCATTGTGATGACGTGTCACGTCCACTGGGAGATAGCTGATCAGATAGCTTGAGTCGAAGTTTTAAGTTACTGATCCTGTCACATATGTTACTAACCATCGCTATAGGAAAGTTTTCACTGTTTGAGGGAGTTCTCAGACTGCAATGCTTATGCTGGGCCCCAAGGTAGCACAGTCACCACATCAGGCTGCAGATGTCACTTTGGAGAAGCACAGGCTCGCTGTACAGAAGCTTTGATGATGAAGAAGGAAGCTAGAAATGGACAGTTCACTTTTAAGCAAAATTTCTTTCATACAGTTTATATTTTCCTCTTTCTTATGTAAAATGGAGAAAGCTGTAGCTATAGAAAAAGGCAAGCCCCGAGAAATCATTGCCTTCCCATTTATCTGACGTCTCAAACCAGCATGGACATACACGTGATCGCAGAGGGGAAACTCAGTAAAAACAAGTGTCTGCTTCCGGCCTCTCAAAACGCACCTATGTTGGGCCAGGAAGATGGCCCAGAGGGTACTACCAACATTATGGCCTGAGTTCGACCCTCAGAACCCACATGGGAAAATGAGAGCTAATTCCTTGGGTTGTCCTTTGACCTCTACATGTGCACGGTGGCTTATTCACCCTCTGACACATGAACAATAAATACATAAGAGTGAGAAGAAATTAGAACTTACTGAAGTTATTAGATTCTCAATGTTTTACCTCATGTGTTCACGTGAACACTTTTCCTTCTAGGCAGCTAGTGGTGGTGCACGCCTTTAATTCCAACACTCAGGAGGCAGAAGCAGGCTGATCTCTGTAGTCTGAGGTCAGCCTGGTATACAGAGTGAGTTCCAGGACAGCCAGGACTACACAGAGAAACCCTGTCTTGAAAAATCAAACAATTTTTTCCTTTTATTTCTTTTATATGCAAAAGCTACATTTTCAAAATACCATTGTATTTTAGTTCATATAAAAATGTTTGTGACAAATGATGAGGCAGTTCCTCAAAAAATTAAATAGAGAATTGCAGTAAAACCCAGTAGTCCTGCTTCTTGTATGGACTTCTTGTATGTGAGGGCACTGCAGCACTGGTCACAGTAACCATAAGGGGGAGGAACACAAGACCAAACCAAAATGTGATCTATACAAACAATGAAGTCGTATTTGGACCTAAAAATTAAAGTTCTGACGTGTGCTACAAAATGAATAAAACCTGAAGACAACCTGTGAAGTAAGCCAGTCACGAAAGAACAAACACTGTGCGATTCTACTTTATGAGGTGACTGTAGTTGAATTCATAGAGTAGAAAATAGAGCGGTTTTGCCAGGAGTGCAGAGATGGGGAAATAGAGTTGTTATTTTGCAGGGAAGTCCAGCGTGGGCAGATGAAAGACTTGTGGGGCTGGATGCTTGAGAATGGCCTTCATCACACCACAGAGCAAAAGTACTTGGTGACACTGGGCTGTGTGCTTGGAAGTGGTTAAAAGATAAAGTGTATGTTGTGTCTTTTAACACAGTAAAAAAGATTCATAAGAATGATTATTGGCTTTTATAGAAAACACAAATTTAATTTATTAAATATATATTATAAACTGATCTTCAAAACTATGAGAAACTCGTTTCTTGGTCTTTTTTTTTTCCCCAGCAGTGTCTCAGTATGAAGTCCTGACTTTACCATGCAGACCAGGCTGGTTTTGAATTTGCAGAAATCTAACGCTTCCGCCTCCCATGTGCTGGAATTACAGGCGTGTGCTAGCACACTCTGCATTTTCTAGTCTTTAAATTGTTGGTTAGTAGTCATAGTAAGAATGTGTACGGTGGCATGTGTGGGGCAGGTGTGCAGGCTGTGTACTTCTTGCCTTCCACCCTTATGTGGATACCAGGATTGAACTTGGACTGTCAAGCTTGCCTTATTAGAAGGCAAGGGTCTATACCTGCTGAGCCATCTTGCTAGTTCCAAATAAGATATACTGTTATGGTAACCACATTTGTTGCAATTTATAAGCTCATTTTGATCTTCTTTTTATGAATTAGGAAAATCAGGAAGACCTAGGCCTGTGGGAAGAGACATTTGGAAAATTTGTGGATGTCAAAGCTAATGGTAAATTGTCAAAGTTAAGGATATAATATTAAAATAGATCATTCCAAAATATCTAAATATTTATGTCTAAAAGTCATTTGATGGTGGGAGTTAGAGATCAGTGATAGAATGCCTGGCTAATGTAGGAGGTACACTGGGTTCAATCCCCAGTGTCATAAACAAACAAACAAACAAATTGTTGACAGAGGTTTCTGTCCTGCCCAGTCCTGCAGAAACACACAGAGGCCTACATTAATTATAAACTGGTTGGCCTATTAGCTCAGACGTCTTACTAATTATCTCTTATATCTTACATTAACCCATAATTCTTGTCTGTATTAGCCACACAGCTTAGTACCTTTTATCAGTGAGGCATTTTCATCTTGTGTCCTTTGTATCTAGGTGATGACTGCAGACTGAGCGCCTTTCCTCTTCCCAGAATTCTCCTATTCTGGTCACCCCACCTCTACTTCCTGTCTGGCTGCTGGCCAATCAGCATTTTATTAAACTAATATAAGTGACAAATCTTTACAAGGTACATGACCATTGTCCCACAGCAACAAATAAATAAATTCCTTAAGCTTTGGATTTAAAACAAGTAACTTCTGTAAAGTGCACAGAAATCTCTGGGTTGGGTTTCCTATTCATCAATAATGCAGTGCAAAGAGAAGTAATTGTGTACACCTTATGGAGGAATGAGAGCGATAATGGACCATGTGCAGCTTATGTTAGGAAAGGGTCTGGGCCAGCATACATACTGCTTGTGTTCTGAGTAAACCAGACAGCTGGAAATGCCACATATTTTCATGAGACCCAAGTGATGAGAACCCAAGTTATACAGCTCATCTGCTCTAACATTTTTTAACTAGTAATTCTCAATTCTCTTCGTCATTGTCACAGGTGCTACATGCCTATCTATGGCGTTTCTCACCAGACTTATCAATATGGTTCAGATGATGGGCTCACATATCACAGTCATGGGAGGTCATATCCTGAGGATCCAGGAAGGTCTTCTTGCTGTTCTTAGGTAGTTCTTAGGGAGCCACAGGCAGGCTGACAGGAAGATTATCAGTCAGAAGAGAAGAAGCACAAACTCTCTCAGCAGAGATTGAACATGCTCAGTATCGGGAAAAGGAGCTGCAGCACACGGCTCAGACAACATAGCTAGTAAGTGACAGAGCTTTGCACTCATACACATTATGTGTAATACCCGCTTTCACATACACATCCATTGCATCCACCAGTGCCCAGACATCACAGCGTCTTACAGTCAATGCACAGCATTGATTGGTAGGGGCAAGTTCAGACCTCTCTACTCCCAGCCAAATTGTTAGCTATTATTTTTTTAATTTTTTTTTTTTTTTTTCGAGACAGGGTTTCTCTGTGGCTTTGGAGCCTGTCCTGGAACTAGCTCTGTAGACCAGGCTGGTCTCGAACTCACAGAGATCCGCCTGCCTCTGCCTCCTGAGTGCTGGGATTAAAGGCGTGCGCCACCATCGCCCGGCTAGTTGTTAGCTATTAGCTAAATCTTTTAGATTGATCCATTTGAGAAACAACTCAGCCATGAGCCTGGTCTCTACAGGTCCTTCCTCTGTTGGTTTGGATTTCTCCTTCCATGGATTTGAACATCTCTACGGTATCCCTCAACATGCAGAGTCACACCAACTTAAAAATACTGGGTAAGTAGCAGCAAGATTTCTTAAGTGGTCTCTGCCTTGATATCACTTATGGAGTTAGGAAACCTTCCTAGTAGTTTTTCAGGTTCTGAACTGTATCGGAGATTTGAAAGCTAGGTAAGAACACACAAGTGAGGTTCTGTATGTTTATTCTCTCTGCTCTTGACTGTGAACACTGCAGTAATGGACCGCAGTCTGGAACTGTAAGCCAAAGAAGCCCTTGCTCCCTAGGTTGCTTTTTGTGAGAGTATCTGTCACAGCGACAAAAATGAAACTAGGACAGGACATAAAAGTGGAAAGCAGTGCCACAAGCTGGCTTCTGACTTCCACATACACACACACACACACACACACACACTCACACTACTTAAAAGGCTGCAATAGTGAGCCCCAAAATACAGAAATAAAAATGAGTAATTGGAATTAAAGGGGAGGAGGTTTGCTTTTACAGTGAAGGATCTGTTTTTGTGGAACCCTGGGAAAATACCAAAAAGAAAATACTAATCTGGAAAAGGACCTTCACTCTAAAGAGGACAATGAGCCAGAGAACGTGGTGTCTCCAGTACCTGTGATTCCCTTGGAGAGACCATTTCAGGCTGACACTACTGACAAATGGATCTCAGGGCATCTGCCTAAAAGGAGACAAAACCAAAAAGAAACAGAGGCTGTATATTTAGTAGGTAGGCAGAGTGACTAGTCTCGCCCTCCAGCTCCGAGCTCCCCATCTCAGTCCTGTTCCAGATCTGGAGGTATGTTAGGATGCGCTTCTTTTCCTTAGCTGCAAAGAAGTCTTCACACAGCCCATTAGCAGAGGGATTCAGTGTGGCCGCTCTTCCGGAGGATTCACAGGGGACCTTAGTAAAGGTATCTAGGATCTAAGCCTGAGATTCCCAGGGAGCCAGCAGAGACAAAGGGGGAGCTCATCCACCAGATTGGCCCAGGAAACCTTTAGGCAAGTGATAAGAGATGACTCATTGTAGGGGAGTGGCTCTATATAGGGTCTTGTTACATGCCCAGGCTGGCCCCTAACTCACAGTTCTCCTGTGCTAGGACTGTAAGTGTGTGCCTTCACGCCTGGCAGGAGGTGAACAGTCTGTTCACAGGAGACAATGAAGCTGTCCTAGTCATTAGCAACCCACTTGTGTATTTGGTGATGAACCTCCTTTGTGTTTCAGGGATGGAGATGCATACCGTCTTTATAACCTAGATGTCTATGGATATCAAATACATGACAAAATGGGCATTTACGGTTCAGTGCCTTATCTCCTGGCCCACAAACAGGGCAGGACTGTAGCCGTTTTCTGGCTGAATGCCTCGGAAACACTAGTGGAGATCAACATGGAGCCAGCAGTTGAGGTGAGCCATAGACTGTGGCTGCATGTCATAGTTACCATACCGCAGTCAGTCAGAGCCCTTTTCTTTAACAGCAGCATTTTTCTGTGACCAAGAGCTTTGCAGTGTAATTGACAAATGTTAGTAGGAGCTACCAAATGTAGACAGACTCACTTAGAACAGGGGCCTATAGTTTACAGTGAAATTTCTCAGATTTCCATTGCATCCTTTCCCAGTACGTCCTGACCCAGATGGGCCCAGCAGCTGCCAAACAAAAGGTCAGGTGTCGGACGGATGTGCGCTGGATGTCGGAGAGTGGAATCATTGATGTTTTTCTGCTGACAGGGCCTACACCTTCTGACATCTTCAAGCAGTACTCATCCCTCACAGGTACTTGCATGGTGATCGCTGGGTCCTCACTCCATTATGTTTTGTCTATCCTGTGTACATCACTGCAAATTAATCTTTGTTCTACACTACATGGAAATCACAAACAATGTCCCTACGCATTTTAAGTAGTAAGCACTTTTCTTCCTGCCATCATTACATCCAGACAAGCTAAACATGACACTGGGCGGCCCACTCTCTAATCCCTAACACTTCATATGCCTGCTTGGAGCCCTTAGTCTCTGGGAATAATCTTCTTGTAGCTAAGGAGTATTCCACCCTGAACTTTTAAATGTGTTCTCTGTTGAGTCAGCTAGACTGGAAGTTCCTTTCCTCAGAACTCAAAGGCATTTCTCTCTGTCCCCTGTCTTCTCACTCCAAAACCATTCATTGTATTCCTTCCCACATGATCTGACCTTTCTCACTGATCCACCTTCCTCATCACTAATACTGCGAATGTTTACAGTGAATTCCCTAGATGCATTCCTTTCAAATGGTCTCTGTACTGAGGGTGAGATGTGGGCACCTTCAGTCTTAGTGTCCGTCAGTCCTGGGGAAGTCTGCTGTTCCTTTCAGAGTTTTCACATCCGTGCTCTTTCTCCTTTTTTCCTTTTGCCTCTTTTCTGAGAAATTTTCTCCATCTTATCTTCCCAGCCATCCATTTATGTTGTCATGTTTCTAATGTTGAGGGTATTCCTATCTCTGATCCTGCCTGTGTGCTCATTGTTCCATGATGCCCTAGTCTACTTTGTGAGTCTTTTGTCTTTTTTCATCCTTAGAGATACTGATGAAGATGGGTTTTTTAAAGATTTTATTTTTATTTTAAAACTATGTATGTATGTGTTGAGATAAAGTGCCTACAGGACCTAGAAGAAGGTGTCTGAGCCCTGGAGCTGGAGTTACACGTGATTATATGGCTCTACATGGAAGCCCTTGGTGGCTAGATGAGTCTGGTACCCTAGCACTTGAGGAGCATATGGGGGTCCCTGTCTGAGGTTTCTAGAGCAGGGAGGTGCTACTATCTGCCTTTGAGCCTTCCTCACACATTCTACATAGCTCAACAGACACCACCTCCCCCTTACTGTCCACGCTCCAGATCTGTGTTGAACCAACTGCCCTTTGGTTTGCTCTTTTGTTTCAAAGCGCCTTTTTGTGGTAATTTTCATGAATCAGTTCTCTCCTTCCACATTGCGGGCCCTAGGGACTGAACTCAGGTCATCGGGCTTGGTGGCAAGAACCTTTACCCACTGAGCCATCTCGCTGCCCTCATTCCTTTTAAGACAGGGTCTCATGTATCTCAAGATGGTCTTGAAGTTTCCATGTAGCCAAAGATGACTTTGAACTTCTGATTCTTCTGCCTCGACCTCTCCCAAGTACTAAGATTACAGGCATGCATTGTAGAGTGCTGAGAATTTTGAACCCAGAGTTTTGTGGACACTAGGCAAGTACTCTACCATCTGAGCTGTATCCACAGCCCCCACGTTGCCATTTTTTATGTCTTATTGTAAAAGAAATTATGAATAGAATTCTGATCTTGAGGTACAGGTCTCTTTTATAAACTGATCTTTCCAGTTCCATCTCCTCTCAGTCTCACACTGTGACCCTGCAGTATTTTTTTCTCTAAGACTACATCTATTTCTTTGCCTGTGTCTCTATTCTCTGTTCTATGAGCTCTACTTAGTCTCCCTGCCTGGCGTCCTCCTACTATTTCAAGGCTTCCCCCCTTCTCACCTGCCTTGGGAAAGCTCTAAAGACCCCACCTTACTCTATAAACAGAATGAATGTGTTCCCACAGCGCTAGACTGATACCGTTAGCATAGCAGCTGTTTCAGCGCAGGTTTATTTGTAAGCCTGCCCCATCACCCTACCTGCCAGTTTCTTCAAGGCGGGGTCTAGTTTTTCTTTTCCTGGTTAGTCTATGCATGTCAAGCTCAGTGTTTAATCCCCTGTAGAGAATGGGGAGATGGTCACTGGTTGAATAACATCAGTGGCCTCCATTGTCATCTTTTTTAGGCACACAAGCCATGCCCCCTCTTTTTTCCCTGGGGTACCACCAGTGCCGCTGGAACTATGAAGATGAGCAGGATGTGAAGGAAGTGGATGCAGGTTTTGATGAGCATGACATTCCATATGATGTCATGTGGCTGGACATAGAGCACACCGAGGACAAGAAATACTTCACCTGGGACAAGAAGAGATTCGCAAACCCCAAAAGGATGCAAGAGCTACTCAGGAGCAAAAGACGCAAGGTGAAGCCAGCCTGGTGTTGAAAGCTTTCTAATCCCAGTGTTAGATTTGTCTTGGCACATCAGCAGAGGAAGACCCTCTGGTGGAAGAAAACCATTGTAAACGTAGTGCTTTCCAGTATAACAGTAGCTGTGAGGACAGAAGACAGGTGCGAAAATGCAGTGACGCCATCCATCCCTGCCACAGTTGTGTGAGCCCCCAAACAATGAAGGGGCCTGAGCCTTTCAGTCTGTTGGTGGCAGCTACCCTGCTGTGATGGCACCCTGCTCCCCTAAAAGGTCCCATTGTCAGAACTGGTGGTACTACACAGACACCAAAAGCAGAAAAGCATCTCGTATCATGAGGCCTTCTGGAGAGAGCAGGGCTGTCTCCTGACTACTTTGAAAATGACTTGAGAAAGCTGGGAAAGGGGCCCAGCTTGGAGTCCCTGGTGGCTGACAGGTGGGGCTGGGTTGTCTAAACTTCCTGCCTCTGGCCATCAGAGCTTGTTTTGTCAGGATGACTGCTGGTGGGCAGGAGGGAAAGAGGACATTGTAGGGCTTGAAAGGCTTAACAACAGAGGGTCAGACATGGAGTCCTGCGGACCAAGATGGCTCAGCAGGTAAAGGTGCTTGCCCCACATCTGACAACCTGATTTGGTCCTAGGAGCCCATGTGGTAGAAGGATGAAACCAACTCATGCAGCTTGTCCTCTGACCTCCGCATGCTTGTCCTCTGACCTCCGCATGCTTGTCCTCTGACCTCCGCATGCTTGTCCTCTGACCTCCACACGCACACCTGGCAAACAGACGTCTCCCCTTGCTCCACACACAAGTTGATAAGTGTAATTTTTAAAAAATGTAACCAGATTCTTATTTTTTTATATATATACATGCTTCACTGACAGACTCTCTCTGTAAATTTGGTCAAGGAAAGAACTGAAATTTAAAGGGGAAGGAGAAAAGCCACAGAAAAGTACATAATTCCTAATGTACCTCTTTCCTCTTCTAGAGGGTTAGGGCGAAGGAAGGGTAGCAGTAATGAACTCACAGAGATCTGCGTGCATCTACCTCCCGAGTGCTAGGATTGAAGGCATGGACCACCATGCTCAGCCCTAACCCCCTAGTTTCTTAATTAATTATTAACTATAATTTGTCAAGCATTTAATTGTGGGCTAGACATTATGATAAAGCGTATTATTCCTCCAGCTACAAAACTCTCAAGTTGGCCTTATTACCATTTTTCAGATGAAGAAGGGGTAGCTTGCAGTGGTTGGTAGTTTGCACTGAGGATTGAAGACCTGAAATCTTAAAAATGTGGATGGGGGCTGAGATGGCTCAGCGGATCAAGGTGCTTTGCCACCAAGTCTGAGAAACTGAGTTCAAGCCCCAGAACACATGGTGGCAGGAGAGAACCTACTTCTTATAGACCAATGAACAGACACACACAAAATACATAAATAAATGCAAAATAATAGTAAAGATGATAAGCCATGATAGTTAGAAAAGAGGATTTACCTGGGTTTGGTAACATTTTTTTGTTTGTTTTTCGAGACAAGGTTTCTCTGTGTAGCCCTGGCTCTCCTGGAACTGACTTTGTAGACCAGGCTGAACTTGAACTCACAGAGGTCCGCCTGCCTCTGCCTCCCAAGTGCTGGCATTAAAGGCTTGCGCCACCCATGCCTGGCTGATAACAAGTGAAAGGTCATAGGGATTTAGTAATGTCCAAACTTTTCCACGAGTAAAACTCGACCCCTCGAAACTATGGTGGGAACACCTGAATGAACACAAGCCTCATAAAGCTGACATGCTCTCTAAATCTCTGTCCTGACAGCTTGTGGTTATCAGTGACCCCCACATCAAGGTGGATCCTGACTACTCAGTATATGCTAAAGCCAAGGAACAGGGCTTCTTTGTGAAGAACCCAGAAGGTGGCGACTTCGAAGGCATATGTTGGCCTGGTATGGTATCACTTGCTTCCACTTGTGCTGTCCCAGTTATAAAACGTCTATGGCCAGAATTCTCGTCCCCTATGGCCAGAATTCTCGTTCCTCGTGGGCATGTCTTTCCCTTCCAGCCACATTCTCAGCACCTTTAAGGGAGATAGGCCATTGCCTTTTATAACACCTGATGCAGAGAACTTAGTGCATTTGTCAAGTCAGTGATCAGATGAATGAGTGAGAATGGGCAAACAGGCTAATCTCCACGGCTGCTACATCTCTAAACAGACAGACATAGGGAGTAAGGAGTGAGGACAGCCTGGGGTGGGAGGTGGGGCTAAAGTGTGGTCAGGCTCTCCTTTGTAATTGCTCTTTGTCCTTTTAGCTCACAGTTTTGACTTTCGGTCTTTCCTGAGTGGCCTCAGCTGCCTGTGGAACTCTAGATGCAAAAGTCGTTAGTCTAAAGCCTTGTTAGAAATTCTCCAAAATTTCTAACAAATTTCAAGAAATTACCATGGTGTCATAAATCCAAGTGCTATGGAGAAGCCCCTACCTCCCTTTTCTCCCTTGAGCCATTGGAACAAGTCCATGTTCTCTTTAAAAACAGGGTTCACTGCAGAGTAGTGGATGTCCTACCTGGCTTTTCAGCCATTAGTGAAGAATGAACTCCATCCTGACACAGAGTTCACTGGCCCGTGGGCTCTGGTGTTGAAAGGGTTACATGTTGTGTCTTTAAAGATTGCTTTTGTTCACTTGTTACAGACCATGCCTGTCTCAGTTGTCTTTTGTGTTTGACATAAGGCGTCCATTGATAACTCTCATATCTTCTTTCCACACATCTTGCGTAAAGACCACTGTTCTTGACAGACTGCCCACTGTTGTGCTCTGCAGGTCTCTCGTCTTACCTGGATTTCACCAATCCCAAGGTCAGAGAGTGGTATTCCAGCCTTTTTGCTTTTCCTGTTTATCAGGTTGGTTTCTATTCTTTTTCTGCTTCCTAGTTAACCTGAAAGATGAAAGGAAAAGGTAGTTGCTTAGAACTGCTTTTATTAAGTAGTTTTTGAGATAGTGCATATATAAAAGGCAAGAATAGATACCGCATTATAGGCTTTGATGGTTTTAGGAAGGGTACTATTACTAGATGTATAAAAACTGTGGTTTAACCTATATCAAAATATAGTACAATTGATGTTTATTCTATTTTATAATTGCTATGTATATTTTAATATAAAACCTATTATTGAAAAGTGACATGGGGGCCAAGTAATCACAGCACTTGGGAAGATGAGCAGAATTGCCATTAATTCAAAGCCAGCTTGGACTACAGAGTGAAACTCTGCCTCAAGGAAAACACTGGGTATGGTGATGCACACCTTTAACCTCAGTTCACAGGCAAAGGCAGAGGGATCTTTGTGAGCTGGAAACCAACCAGGTCTACATTGCAAGTTCCATGACAACCAGGGCTACATAGAAAGACCCTGTCTCAAATAGAAAAGACTTAAAACTAGGAAAATAGTTCAGTTGACAGAGTGCTTGGCTAGCAGGCCTGATCCCCAACACAGAAAAGACCCATGGTAGTACATGCCTGTAATTCCAGCATTAGGAGGTGGAGGCAGAAGGATCAGAAGTTAATGTCAATCTTCAGCTACTTATCAAATTCAAGACCTAAGCAACATGAGAGCCTGTCTAAAACAAAAAGGGAAAGAAGGAAGGAAGGGAAACAAACAAAAAGCCCCATCAGCAATAAAGTGGCTATGACTAGTGTGAAATTATCTTACAAACCAGTGGTTGTCAAAACCGCTTAGGGGGTCGGTCGACTAACCCTATCACAGGTTGCATATAAGATATCCTGCATGTCATATATTTACATTATGATTCATAACAGTAGCAAAATTGCAGTTTTGAAGTAGCAATGAATATAATTTTGTGGTTGGGGGTCACCACAACATGAAGCACTATATTTAAGAGTTGCCACATTAGGAAGGTTGAGAACCACTGTTATCAATTATAATGTATTGATAAAAGCAAAATTTAATAATTAAAATCTTAAAAGAACCATGGAAAGAAGTGGAGGTCACATTAGAGACCTGTCTTCAACCAGTCATGGTAATGATGACGATACCTAACACAAACTGATGCAAGCCACATCCCAAGTGCTGTTTTAAGTATTTGATGTGTATCGCCCCATTTCTTCCTTATAAAAATGCTCTAAATTGGAACTACAATTAAATCTTAACCACAAATGTAAGAAAATTGAGGTGTGGAGAGTTTTAAAACCCACATAGTAATCATTTACTAAGTGATAGACTCAAGGTTTGAATTCCGATCTATTTTCTCCCGAGCTCTGCTCTTAAGCACAAGATGTTTGCTTCTGAACATAACTGATTAGGAAGGAGACTAGAAAAACACTTAGAATGGCATAAACATCAATCCTTAGACAAAATATGGCTACAGTCATTCACTTCATGGCTGCTTTCATAGTACTGTGCCAGAGTAGAATAAATTAAAGCGCTTTTATGATCCACAAAGATGGAAATGTAAATTATCTAGATCTTTATAAAAAGAAGGGGAGGGGAAGAACGCATGCTGATCTTTGAGTTAGAAATGCTAAAAAAAGACTGAAGGCAAATATTTTGAAACTGTACAGCCTTGTTCTTAGAAGTGCATTTGCTTAGAAGCCAGGCATGATGGTGCATACCTTTAGTCTCAGCACTGAGAGGCAGCAGCAGGTTATCTCTGTGCCTGTTGTACAGCCTGTGTACATAGTGAGTTCCAGGACAGCCAGAGCTACATAACAGAGAGACCCTATCTCAGAAAAAAAGTGAATACGCTTAAAAATAGTTAAGGAAACATATAGGCCACCTTCAAGCATGGGAAAGATCATCTATCATGTAGATAAGGTCTCAGGTGTGTTCTGTAGTGTCCTGGAAGAGAGCTAGGCCTTATTAGGACATGGTGTAAAGAACATAGCATTAAGAAATACTGGGATGAGCTGCCTGAGGCTCCCTGTACTGATATTCAAATGCTGAGAGACCGTGAATGTTATAAAAAGAAGTGTAATAATATTTTCGGTAGATGGAAAGAACACAAATTATATAAGATGTTAACAAACAGATAACTCAGCTGTCAAGTCTTTCAGAGTATTAGAGAAAAAATAAGTTCATGTATAGTAATAATCGACTTTAGTTCAGAGTTGTAGCAAAAATTTTTCTCAACTTTTGGATAAGATCAAGTGAAGACTTGTAGTAGATAGTGGATGATACAGAGCAGAGTGGTGAGTATTCACAACTTTTCTGGCACATATTCCCTAAGGATGTCTTTGTGTGAACTTACAGGGCAGTTGTATTTCACAGACAATATAGTGCAGCATAATTATTAAAAAAAAATTATTGAGGGGGCTGGAGAGATGGCTCAGAGGTTAAGAGCATTGCCTGCTCTTCCAAAGGTCCTGAGTTCAATTCCCAGCAACCACATGGTGGCTCACAACCATCTGTAATGGGGTCTGGTGCCCTCTTCTGGCCTGCAGGCATACACACAGAAAGAATATTGTATACAAAATAAATAAATAAATAAATAAATAAATAAATAAATAAATAAATAAATATTAAAAAAAAAAAGAAGTCAACTAGATTCGTGTCCCTGCCTCTAGACGGAATCAGTTCTGTAGTCAGGCACACTATGCACACTCTTTGTGTGTCTTTGTTGTCAACTGCAGTGAGTCTTAGATTATAGCCAATTTATTATTTCTCCCTCTACTTCCTTTTCTTTTTTACAATAAACCTGATGAATTTTAAACTATTACATATGACATTTAATACTACTAGAAGACTTGTATTGGCACAGGCAATCTATAAATATGTTAACAAAGGTAATTAAGGCAAGGTTTTAAGATTTCATATATATCCATCTATTGCTAGCTTATCTGAGGTTGGTGGCACACATGTGCAATCCTAGTATTCATGGTACAGAGGGACTGGGAAGTCAAGGCCAGCCTGGCCTACATAACGAGTTCTAGGCCAACCTAGACTATACAACAAACTATCATAAAAGCAAAAAGCAAACAAGGGCTAGTGATGGCTCAGTACGTAAGAGTTCTTGCTGCTCTTCCAGAGGACCTGAGTTTATTTCCCAGCACCTATATTGGGAAGCTCACAACAGCCTGTAACTACAGCTCCAGAGGATCCAACACTTTATTCTGGCCTTCAGAGGCACCTACACAGGGACTCACATATACTTAAATTTTAAAAATATTTTTAAAGGGGCTAGATAGATAGTTAAGTGGTTCAATCCCCAGCATCCACCTGGTAGCTAACAACCATCTATAATTCCTGTTCCAGGGGCTCCAAAGTTCTCTTCTGACCTCCTTGAGCAGTATATGCATATAATACACAGACATATGGGAAAACACCTACATATAAAAGAAAAAAATCTACAAAAAAGTTTTAAAAAATCAAACAACAAATATATATATACATATATGTGTGTGTATATATTACACATATATACACATATTTATCGCCTAACATTCACACCAGGAAAGCAAGACTTAACATAATAGATTTATATTTTAATAAGTATATGTCTTAGTTTCTATTGCAGTGATAAGACACCATGGCCAATGTAACTTATAAATGAAAGCATTTAATTTACCTTATGGATTTCAGAAAGCTAGAGACCATGGTGGCATAGCAGAGGATCAGCTGAGAACTCATATCCTGATCCATAACCACAAAGCTTTAAGAGGGAGGCACTCTGGGAATAGCACAAGTTTTGAAACCTCAAAGCCTCCCCCTGGTGACACACCTCCTCCAACAAGGTCACACCTCCTAATTCTTCCCAAATAGTTCCTCCAACTGGGGACCAAATATTCAAATATATGAGCCGTTCTCATTAAAACCACCACAGTGTACTTTTAAGATGTGTAAACTTTCCTACTTTGCTTAGCCTTCTGAATAAAGATGGTAGAATTGTCTTCTCTCTGCTAATCATATCCAAAGATTGAGAATCACTTACCTGGGGCTGGAGAGATGGCTCAGTGGTTAAGAGCATTGCCTGCTCTTCCAAAGGTCCTGAGTTCAATTCCTGGCAACCACATGGTGGCTCACAACCATCTGTAATGAGGTCTGGTGCCCTCTTCTGGCCTGCAGGCATGCACACAGACAGAATATTGTATACATAATAAATAAATATTTTTTTTTAAAAAGAGAATCACTTACCCTAACTTATATTTGTGAGTCTTTGTCATTTTTAGAGTAAGACTGCGTGCCTACAGGTTCCCACAGTTGCTATTTTCTATGGGAGCTGCTGGGCTGGATATAGTCTTTTTCAAGTAGTACATGTTTATTTCTTGGTCAGCTTTTTGCTTTAGTTGCTAACTGCCTTAGGGAATTTCTTATGCAGGCTGAAGTGGACACTTAACCTCTGAACTTATTTTTTTGATCAATGAAAATCATTTGACTCACAGATTATTATGTATATTGTAAGGAAATGCATTATAAAATGCCTACCAAGGGTACCACTGAATACATGATGTCTTGGTTTTTCGTTGTGTTGTGTATTTGTTTTCTGCAGTGCTGGGGACCGAACCTTGGGCCTCAGGCATGCTGGGTAGCCACTCTTCTACTCGCCCACATCCCCTTCCTGTTTATTTCACTGGCATTGCTAACCAAATAAATGTTTCCATCTTTTCCAGGCAAACTGGTATCATTCATTGTATCATCAAATAGACAGTTTATTATTTCCCTTTTCCTAGTCCCTCCAATGGTAACTTTTCTCATGTGAGTAGTCTCTTGAGGATGGTGGCAGTGCCCTCACCCTGACTCCTCTTTCCAATGTTCTTCACTGACTTACAGCAAATGGCTACTGCAGAAGGATTGATACAGCGATCGAAAGGGAAGGAGAGACCCTTTGTCCTTTCACGTTCTTTCTTTGCTGGATCACAAAAGTATGGTAAGAAATGACTCACATTATAAAACACAAGGTAGTTACCCATCCTTTTCTTTTGAGCATGGTATATGCTACCTGCTGTCACGGTGTTCCTTTTCAATAGCCTTATAGCTTACAGTGTAGAACCTGATGTGCTCTGACATGTGTATTTTATACTATGAATAAATGGTCTGTAGGTCCCTCAGTTGGTAGAGTAGACAGCCTAGTAGGTGAGGGGCCCTGGGTTTAATGCTCAGCACCATATAAACCCAGGCAAAGTCGGGTATGTTTGTAATCTTAGCACTCAAGAGATGGAGGTGGGGGAACTGAAGCTCATGGTCATTTTCCAAGGTCATCTTGGGCTTCATGAGACCCTGTCTCCCTCCCTTACCCCAAAAGACAGTAAGCCAATTTTCAAGTTTAGTAGTTTTTCCTACTGAAGAAATGGTCACTTACTTGTTGAGAGAGTTTTCTGGCATAGTCATCTGATCCTATCTTTTTGACTTGTGGAAAACCAGGGAAACATATCTCTAACAAACGGCTCAGCCAGCTGTTCCACTTAGCAGTGTGGCTTAAAATAGGCCTGGCTGCATGCTTGTTGTCAGGGTCATCTATGACTGAATCTGGTTTACAGCTGATACAGATCAGTTCAACTTAACCACTCTGTGGCAGAAAGGCTATTTTAAGGCCCCTGTCCTTGCATAAGTAATTGAGAACATAGGTCCTATTGTAAAGAACCTTGCCTTTGTTGAATCATAGACACTTTTAGGTCTCTCACTCCACCTCCCAAGACCAGCTCCTGTGTTCTTCAGCCAAAGGACAGAATAGTAGCAACAGAAATGGTCATCATAGCATTAGACCTTGAGGCCAAAAGAAAAGTCTACCTCTGTAACAGTAAAAGAAGGGTCACAAAAGTGTGGGTTATCCACGGGACAAACTATCATGAGGCAGTTTAAAGTTATAGTTTAAATGGTTTTTCATTTATTTTAGGGGGTATGACACATTCCACCAGTCTAGAGGTCAGAGGACAACCTGGAGTGGTTAGTTCTCTCCTTCCTTAAAGTGATAGTTTTAATTGCATGAGAATAGGTTTGTAACATTATGTAAGTTAAAAAAGAAAGCATGCCTGAGTGATATTCGTTATCCCAATTATTAAAAATGTAAATGTAGTATTTTCAATCAGTAAAAAGACTTCAGTAAAAATATAGGAAAATTTAAGCCTGTAATCCAGGCACTTGGGAGTGGAAGCAGGAGGGTCAGGAGTTCAAGGTCATCATAGGCCACATAGGAAGTTTGAAACCAGCCTAAGATACAGGAGATTCAGTCTCAAAATTAATACATACATACATGAATGAATGAATGGATAAATAAATAAATAAATAAATAAATAAATAAATAAATAAATAAAGGCCAGCAAGATGGCTCACAGGGTTAAAGCACTTGCTACCAAGCCTAATGACCTGAGTTCAATCCCAGGGACCCACATGGTGGAAGGAGAGAACCAACTCCCACAACCCAGGCTACATAGGGAGTTCCTATCTCAATGAAAAAGAAACTGCAGGGGAAATTAGAGAGGAAGAGAATTAATTTTAAAAAAAAGGTTGATAGGCAGCAGTTTAAAAAGATAACAAGACGTGTGGTTGTTAATGTTTCTTTTTCTTTTGGAGCTTTTTTTTTTTTTTTTTTTTTTTTTTGGTTTTTCGAGACAGGGTTTCTCTGTGGTTTTGGAGCCTGTCCTGGAACTAGCTCTTGTAGACCAGGCTGGTCTCGAACTCACAGAGATCCGCCTGCCTCTGCCTCCCGAGTGCTGGGATTGAAGGCGTGCGCCACCACCGCCGGACCTCTTTTGGAGCTTTTGATACAGGGTCTCACTATGTAGCCCAGGCTGGCCTTGCACCCGTAGCAGTCCTCACACCTCTGTCCCCAGTGCTGGAACTGCACGTGTGTGCTGCCATGCCCTTGCAGTCTATGTTATCTCTGAGCGCTTAGGCTCTGGGTCCCTTCCTAGTCTGCAGTACTGGGTGTGATTATTTGCCCCCATGTGTATTGAGGAGAACATGGCCTTTTCTAGCCGCATGCTTGACCACTTGCTGTAAAGAATGTGTGGCTAAACAACCGTGTTAGCTGTGTGTCTACGTGAGCTTTTTTGATGAAAATGTTGCCACAGTTTCAAAATCACTGTGTAGATACAGCCAGAGCTCAATTGATGCCAAGGAAAAATTACTAGAGAGCTGTTTAAAAACAAAATCCCTTGAAAATATTTTTCTTGAGCTAGAAGGTTACTCAGTGGTTAAGAGCGCTGCTATTCTTCCAGAGGACCTGAATTCAATTCCCAACACCCACATGGCAGCTCACAACTGTTCCAAGGGACCCCATGCCTTCAGACAGACATACATGCAGGCAAAATACCAATGTACATAAGAATTTTCAAAAAATATTTTTCTCTGCCTATAGGCCAGCTCAACAGAAAATTAAAACAAAAATATCTACTGAAACTGTTTTGGTAAAAGTATAGATGTTGCATAAACTCTTATCAACTGTAACGTAAACTCGAACATTTGCTTTAACGGTCTGACTTCTTGCCTAAATCTACTTAACAACTATATCACTAGGGTAGAATATGGTTTACCATATCCCCTGATCTATAAAACAGAGCTAATAATATTGTTTGCCTGGAAGGATTGTCGTAATAATCAAGTGGGACAAGAAACCCAGAGTATATAGTTTTGTTTGTTTATTTTGTTCTTGTCTTCATTTTTGAGATGGGGTTTCTTTGTGTACTACTCACTGTCCCAGAACTCACTCCATAGGCCAGGCTGGGCTTGAACCCATAGAGATCTACCTGCCTCTGCCTCCCGAGTGCTGGGATTAAGACATTTGCCACCACTGCCTTTTGTTTTATGACCCTTAATAACTTTTTCACATTAGAAAAGTGATACTTTTCATAGAATTATCAGAATTTGTTTAAGATGAAAAATCTCCGATTTTATTATTTTTGTCTTTTACAAATATGGGATGTAAACTGGGTGGTGGTGGCGCACACTTTTAATCCCAGCACTCGGGAAGCAGAGGCAGGCGGATCTCTGTGAGTTTGAGACCAGCCTGGTCTACAAGAGCTAGTTCCGGGACAGGATCCAAAGCTACAGAGAAACCGTGTCTCAAAATAGTAATAATAATAATAACAACAACAACAATATGAATGTAAATGAAATGGAGTGCATTGTATGATTTGTGTGTGTTTTCATGCCTTGTTATGGGCGATATAAGGTGCAGTCTGGACAGGAGACAACACAGCAGAATGGAACTATCTGAAAATCTCCATCCCGATGTTACTCACCCTTAGTGTCTCAGGGATCTCCTTCTGTGGAGGTAAGTTGGTTCCTGGCTTGAGGTTTTGAGTGGGAAGAAATGAGAAGTGAGTCCTCAGTGCTCATTAGCTGTTTGGAACAAGGATGAATGCAGGAAAGAAAATGGGGGGAGAGCAAAAGGGTTGCTTCAAAGTTTATTGCACAAATTAAAGGTGGCCACACCCTTAATGCCAGCCTTCTAGAGGCAGGAATAAGAGGGTCTCTGTGAGTTCAGGCCAGTCTGGTCTACAGAGCAAACTTCAGGACAGTTAGCACTACACAGAGAGACCCTATCTCATAAATAGATAGATAGATAGATAGATAGATAGATAGATAGATAGATAGATAGATAGATAGATATCTTACATGTATCTTGTCTGAATTGAGGACAGGAAGTCAGGTAGTGGATGAGGCATCTGTTTCCACTCCTTCCCTCAGCACTACCTCCAGAGAACCAGTAACTGAGTGTCCAGAAGCATACTTTTCTTCTTGAAAGTGGAAAGGAGGAGAGCACCACAAACAACTTAGCAAACCAGAAGCCAGCCCAGGAGAGTGCTAGCCTGGTGCGCTCAAGGCCTTAGGTGTGACGGGCAGCGGCGTAGCCGAGGGGTGAAGAGAGCCAGACTTACAGAAACGCTTCTGCTCAGCAGATGCAACATTCTGTGGCATAATTAACTGTTTTCTTCATAAGATGTGCTCGGTTGGTACAGTGCTTGCCTAGCTTGCAAGAAGGCCTCAGTTTGATCCCCAGTCCCACAAAAAACAAGTATGCTCACACAGACCTAAGATTCTGTAACGAGGACATGGAAATAGAAGGATCAAAGGTTCAGGGTTGTCCTTAGCTAGTAGTAAGACGGAGGTCAGACCCAGCTATGTAAGACCCTGTCCGAAAATAAATACATGACTGTGGAAATGGCTCAGTCAGTGAAGTGGTTGCTACACAAACATGGAGACCTAAGTAAGTTCGAAACCCTAGCACCTATGTACAAGAGCTAGGCACAGCGGCACATGCCTGTACCCCAGAGCTGGGGAGGCTGTGGTAGGAGGGTCCCTGTTGATTGCTAGCCAGCCAATCTAGCCAAAAATAAAGTGGAGAGTGATTGAGGAAGACACAGAAGTCAGATTGTGGCCTCTACATGCACATATATCTTCTCACATGTGAATACACACATACACATGCACACACACACACACACACACACACACACAAAAGATGTGCTCTTGGAAAAGATGGATCTAATTCAAATACATGTCTGAGAGTCTCCTCCTGAGAATTCAGTGCAGATAAGTGGACCAGTATGAAGGTCTCGGTATACACTGGCTGCAGTCCTGACTGTGAAGGTCTCGATATACACTGGTTGCAGTCCTGTGAAGGTTTTGATACACACTGGCTGCAGTCCTAGCTGCAGGTCTGAATTCTGAATACTTCTTGTTCTCTACAAGAATAAAAACAAATTACTATCACTTTTTTGATACATGTGTCTTTGTGACATTGGTCCACATGCAAGAAATACATGTCCTACTCAAGGGGTGAGCATGGAATTCTTACCTAAACCTTCACGGCTGATGATTTGCCTTTCAGGGGTTGATACGGTTTCAGTCTTTGCTTTCAGATACACACCTAGTCTGGGAGACATGACACAATTTGTGGGTAAAGGAGGATCCAGAACACACAGGACAGCTGCTCTTAATAGAAAAGCCTGTGACCTTTCTACAGAAAGAAAGGAAAAAAATGTAGAGCATTCTTCCAGATTCCTGCACGGACTTTTTTTTGTGGCTCAAACTTCCCTATTTGAGGCCATAGGTTTGCCTGTTGTGTTGAGTGTGCACCTAGAGCATCTCCTCTCAGTTTTCAAGGTCTTATTTCACCTTAGCATATCATTTATTCCAAGTCTAGTTTCTTATCCGGTCTTTCTGTCTAACCAGCTGATGTGGGTGGCTTCATTGGCAATCCTGAGGCAGAGCTGCTGGTGCGTTGGTACCAGGCTGGAGCTTATCAGCCCTTCTTCCGTGGCCATGCCACCATGAACACCAAGCGGCGAGAACCCTGGCTGTTTGGGGAGGAATACACCCGACTGATCCGGGAAGCCATCAGAGAGCGCTACACCCTCCTACCCTATCTGTATTCTCTGTTCTACCATGTCCACATGTCTTCTGACCCTGTCATGAGGTAAAAAGGGCATCCTCTATTTAGGGACTCAAACAACCTACCAACAAATCCCCAGTGATAAGGAACTGGAAGGGGAGAACAAAAGCCATGTGTTTACTCGAGTTTCAACCAGCTCCACTGCCTGTTGTGCATGGGGTGCTGGCTGTTGTGCACGGGGTGCTGGCTGTTGTGCGGGGTGCTGGCTGTTGTGCACGGGGTGCTGGCTGTTGTGCGCGGGGTGCTGGCTGTTGTGCGCGGGGTGCTGGCTGTTGTGCGCGGGGTGCTGGCTGTTGTGCGGGGTGCTGGCTGTTGTGCGGGGTGCTGGCTGTTGT